GAGAAATACTTCAGCAGTTATTCAAAAAGCTAAACACAGAATTACACAGGACCCAACAATTTCATTCCAAGGTACAGGCCTGGAAAAATTTAAAGTAGAGACTTGATTTATATGCCAGTGTTTAAATGAACCAAAAGGTAGAAACAAGTACCTATCAGCATATGAATACATTAAGAAATTTTGTCCGTGTGTGTATGTGTGTGTAAATTATTCAGCCAGTTCTAATATACACTGCAAAATGAATGATCCTTGAAAATCTTACCCAAACGGAACTGAAAGAGACACAGGATAAATATGGTATGATTCCACTCAGGGTGTATCTAGGGAAATTCATAGAGAAAGTACACTAAAGGTTACCAGGGAGTAGAAGAGAATGAGAAGTTTTGCTTAATGGTGAGTTTCTTGGGATGATGAAAATGTTTTGGAAACGGATGGTGGTGATGGTTATATAACATGATATGTCTAATTAATGTCCCTGAATTCTGCACTTAAAAATGGTTTAAATGAGCCTGGCATGGTGACTCATGCCTGTAATCCCAGCACTTGGGGGGGCGGGCAGGGCTGTGTAGCCAGCCAGGGATACATCCTCAAGGCCAGTTTAAACTATATAGCAAGACCCTGTCTCAAAAAAAAAACAAAATAAAAGGATCATATGGCAAATGTTACATATATTTCCACACAGTTGAAAACATTAAACCCATACCAGTTTCTTTTCATTATTCAGTATTCTCCTTTCTGTCCTTTATTTCCAAAATTTCTTTTGTTTTATGCTAGGGATTAAATCCACGACCTCCACACATTTTAAATACTTGTACCATTGAGTATATCCCCAGCCATTTATATTGAACAATTTTCACTAATTCTTCAAAAATTTTAACTAGTTCTTAGAAAAAGACACCTGTAAAAAGGAAAGAGATTTTTTTTTTCCTAGCTTTGTTTTCAGTATAGCTTTGTTCTTGTCACTTGTCTGATGTGGATTAACTAGACATCTTGCTTAATCTTACAGTAAATATATTCAATAATGTTCATGATTTCTAAATTTGTATATTTTCCATTTCAAGTGATAAAGAGTTTGACTAGTTAAGTGGTATTTGCTGTTTAGAGTAGCTGTTGATCAGGTAAAATACTACACTTCCATGATAGCACCGTGGAAGAATCTTGACGTTATGCCTTTTTCTTAAGCTAAATATTGAGACAAAATTACACTACCAGTTGGACCAGAAATTTCTTGCATCCTGCTTAGTGTCAGCCCAGATGGACACACAAACCCTAAAGGGTGTCCATATGTTTAATTTGCCCTTTTGTTTCCGTAGAAACCAGCAGGGACTTGAAAAATATCAAGCTGTGCCTTTCTGGCATAAAATGTTTGGTTACCTCATCATATGCCGATTACTAAATACTTTCCAGAAATTGATATTTTAGGGAGTACTTGTGATGAAGGTCATTGGGAACACAGTTCTTAGCAGTGTGCAAATGAGAAGTGAGCGCTAGTCTTTCATTCTCTAAATTCACAACCTTGGCTTAGTTTTTCCTTTTTTCATTCATATCTCTATTACTAATATGAATCCTTCCCCCCCCCAAAGATTATTTTTTTCCTGGATTCCCTATCTTCTGTCCTAGTTGTTTTGTTTTTGTTTTTTGTGGTACCAGGGGCTGAACTCAAGACCTTACACTTGTGAGGCAGGTGAGATGCCACCAAGCTAAATCCCTGGCCCTTTGTCCTAGTTGTTTTGCTTCCACTCTTGGCTTTGCTATGATCTGTTCTTCACTTTGCAGTTAGACCAGTCTTTACTTAGAGTTGCACTTTCACATATGGTAGCCTTTAACCACATGTGACTATTTAATTTTAAGTTAATTAAAGTTCAGTTAATTAAAATTTAAAAATCATTCTTCAGTTACCCTAGGCATATTTCTAATGCTCAGTCGCCACTTATGGATACCAAATGGAGCAGCATAAGTATAAAACATTTCTCACATCTCAGAAGATTCTGTTAGTATCGTTTTAGATCTCAATCAAAACTCTGCATTTATTGTTATAAGGAAGTCTTTCTATTGTCTTTCTCATTTTCCTTTTCATAATCCTTTATTGAGAATACACTGCAGCCCAGGTGTGGTACACACCTGGAATCCCAGTACCCGGGAGGTTGAGGCAGGAGGATTGCTGCGAGTTCAAGCCCAGCCTGAACTACATAGTGAAACTCTGTCTCAATAAGTAAATAAGTAAATTAAATCTAACCACGTGCATTGGCCACCTATTTCTTGGCTACGCTGTACTTTACCCTGCTTAGACTCTTTGCACTTGCTGTTCTTTCAATTTGGAGCAATGTCACCACTGCCCAATTTTATCATCTTCATAACATCCTTAAATGAAAGCCTTACTTATTTGTGTTTGTTTACTTACCCTGCCATCCTTCTCCCTACTAGAATGTCAGTTTCATACGGTCATAGAATCTCCCTTTTTTAGCATTCAGTCTTGTATCTAGAAATCTGACCAGAATATAATAGGTAACCAGTTAATACTTGACTCTGATAGTCCCTCAAAAAGTCATTTGAGTACCGGGGATTTAGCTCAGTGGTGCCGCTGCCTTCCTCTCAAGTGGAAGGTCCCGAGTTCAGTCTCTGCTACCCCCTCCCCAATCATTTGAACTACCTTCCCCCCCCCACCCCAGATTTTGTTTTTATTTTGCTATGGTTGGGTTTTTGGCCTAGCTCTGGATTTAGGGTGGCCTTGACTTGGCAGTGATTCTCCCACCTCAGCCTCCCAAGTGGGCTTATAGGTGTGTGCCACCGCCTCTGGAGGATTTCCATTTTGGCAGATCAGTGTGCACTACTACTTGTTCATCTAATTGAATTAGCAATTTGACAATGAATTGACATTGACTCTCTATCAGTACATTGTTAGCATGAAAAGTTATCTGTATGCTAAAATATAATTTTTTGTCTTTCCATTTCCATTTTAATATAAAAATCCAAACTGGGAGTAGTGTTGTGCATTGGTAATCCCAACTATTTGGTAGGCTGAGGCTGGGGGATTATAAATTCAAGGTCAGCCTGGACACCATAGTGAAAGCCTGTCTAAAATATAAAAGGGGCTGAAATGGTAGCACAATGCAAAAAGGCTCTTGGTTGAATCTCTAGTACCACAGAATGAGTAAACAAATATGAACCCAGTTTCACACCACCATCCTATCGTAGCCTGATTATTACATGCATTTTAGCTTTGATTTGGATTTTATGTTGTGATTTTCCAGAATTTTGGATTAACCTTAGTATATTTTGTTTGAGGATTTTATTCTTTTTGGAAAGCAGATAACTGATGGATATCAGGAGGAGGTTATATAATGATAATGTATAATATTTGCTACCTTATTGATTGCTCCTTTCTCATCCATGCTCTTTAGTTTCTTTTGAAGTTATTCTGTTTTCCCCAACTATAAAAGGAATAATAGTGACTGAATTTTTTCTCATTTTCAATTATTAACTTAATATTTTTGATGTAGCTATAAAAACCTTTTTTTAAGTTTCTCTTGACTTTATACTCCTAAAGAATACTTCCCAACCTCTTCATACTTTTTGTGCACATGTGTTTGTATGTGTATGATTCTGGGAATTGAGTCCAGGGCCTTCGGCATGCTAGGCAAGCAGTCTACCACTGACCTACACCACAAGCCAACTTAGTTTTCTTTTAAATGTCTTTTATACCTCCTTCTCAAGCTAAGCATTTTCAGAAAATTGTATTGACCTGATATATAAACGTAATGTTCAAGTCAAAATTATTTGTCCAGTCCTAATGCTGTTCTCCTGTATTTAACGTATTTTTTGTTAGTAAATATTGGCCATACAGATTAATGGGTTTCATTTGTCAGATTCACACAGATACAATACCACACATCGATCATTTTCATTGCTCTTCTTGCCCTGCTCTCCCCTTATTTTCACATTTTTGAGGGGCATTCAGTGCATGTATTTTTTTTCAGTACATATATGTATATTTTTTTGGTTTTGGTTTTGGTTTTTTTGAGACAGGATTCTCACTTTGTAGTTGAGACTGACCTGGAACTCACTATGTAGCCCAGGCTGGCCTCGAACTCACAGCAGTCCTCCTGCCTCAGCCTCCCAAGTGCTGGGATTACAGATGTGCACCACCACGTCTGGCAGTACATATATTTTCATCATAACTATTACCCACCTTACAGGCCCGCCCCCCTGCTCCTTATTCCTATCCTGTTCTTTCTTGAATAGTGTATATCGATACAATCTATTGTTATCTAGCTTTTATTCTGACCTAAAGTATTTTACTATTCTTGAGTATCATTAAGTTATTAGCATGGTTGTACAATTACTTTTTGTAAAGAACTCTGGGTTTTTTTTTCTGCACAGAAAATAAAAAATAAGAGAAATAGCTCCTATTTTCAGTGAACTTACCTTACTGGAAAAATCAGCCAGAGAAGTATTTATGAAGCATCATAAAAGCAGTGGTAGCATGGTGCGGCACATGTCTGTAACCCTATCCTTTAAGAAGGGAGGCAGGAGCGTCATAGTAAGACCCTGTCTAAAAAGCAGAAACAAGAAACCCAAGGAAATCTTACACAAAAATAAGAATAGAAGGTAAAAGTATTTCAGGTTGATTTTTTTTCCCCTTATTTTCCTGGTTTCTTAGACTAAAAACTATGTTCGTTTTGGGGTTTGGAATGACAGAAAAAGAGTATTTTCTTAGATGTAGCACGTACTGAGTACACAAAGGATACAGAATATTTTCAGAAGATGGGTTTAAAACTGGCTGAGATTAATCTTGGTATGGTTTCCTGGAAGAATATATGCTATACTTCCTTATGGGTAATGGGTATTCACTAACCTGTTTGGGCTACACAGTTTTTTCTGATGCTACCTCCTTTCTTGAGTTTATGTTGTCATTTAAGTGCTACCTAGTGATTTTCAGAGGTAATATACTCCATCATTTTTGAACTATCAGGAATAGAGGATTGTTTGTTGTTTTGCAGGTTGCTTCATGTAAGAAATGGAAACTGCAAATATCATTTGGGTGAAGAAACATTTAAATTAGCACAGACTTACATGGATAAACTGTCAAAACATGGCCAGCAAGCAAACAAGGCTGCACTCTATGGAGAACTGTGTGCCCTCCTGTTTGCAAAAAGTCACTATGACGAGGTAAGTGTGTTTGAAGTACATTTCCTCAAATCCACCAAGTACCTATAAAACAGGTAAGCCAGGTGCAGTGCTGCATACCTGTAATCCTAGCACTCAAGAAGGAGAGGCAGGAGAATCACTGTGAGTTTGATCTATCCGGGGCTACAATAGTGAATTCAAGGCCTCCCTGAACTATATTAGAGAGATCTTGTATGAAACAAGTAAACAAACAAAAGAAAGCAAGAAAAAAAAACCCAGAAACCAAATCAAATAGTCTTCTATTATATGTCTTATGAATTTCATTTTCACATACTCAGTTTACTTAAAGTTGTACACATTTGTGGCCAGACATAGTGATACATGTGTGTGATCCCAGCCCTCAGGAGGCTGAGGCAGGAGGATTGCCAGGAGTTCACGGCCAGCCTGGACTACAAAGTGAGACCTTGTTTCAAAACTAAAAAGTTGTGCACAACACATTTGTAATGGAATACTTAAATTCAGATAAAAGTATTTGTGAGATGGATTTTATATATATATACACACACACACACACACACTATAGGGTCCTTTTCGTTTTGAACTGGACCTGTTTTTTAGTTGTGTTGGTTTTGTTTTTTGAGACAGGATCTCACCACTGTGTATCCCAGGTTGGCCTCAGACTCACGGCGATCCTCCTGAGTGCTGAGATAATAAGCTTGCGCCACCATGCTTTTGTACTCAGCTCTTGGACCAGTTGTTTCTGTGCCTAAATTGTTTTAATGGTTATACTCTTGTTAATAGATGCTTCTGATTAGCTTTATAGTTCTGGATAAACTCTCTTGACCTGAAAAGCATTCACTGCAGTGGGAAGCTGGCTGATATTTATACTTTACTTCATTGCCTTCCTTCCATTGCCATATGAAAAAGAAACTCAGTTCCTGGCTTTTTACTGTTAAATTGGTGCATTAGTGATAAATACATAATTGACAAGTGATCTATTTGTATGTGCTTAACTCCTTTGCTTGGTTGCTTTACTTATGGGAGAGTATCATCATTATTTCATGCTATCAGCTTAGGTGTCATTTAGTTTTTTGTTTAGTTTTTTGAAAATTATCCCTATCTTGATTTTTTTCCCATTCCATTCCTAATATATTTCCATATTTAAAGGAAAATTAACAATTAGAGTGAAACTAGAAAATTCTAGAGTAGTTATGTTTGTGATACTAGAATCATCCTGCTTTTAATATCTATATAAGAATGCATCAAATACCAAAAAATCTAAAATCTTTATCAGCCTGCCCACTTTTTTTTTAGGAAGTTGATATTCTGCTTATTTTTTATTTTAAGTTTCTGTGTCTGTTGAACTTGTTCTGTTGGTAGATAGTTTTGCTAACCCTGGTACTGGGGATCAAATTCAAGATGTTGGGCTTGCCAGGCAGGTGTGGGGCCATTGAGCTACATCCCTGGCCTCAAATGATTGTTTTCCCCTTCTCCCTTGTAATCCCTTCATGAAATTGTTTCTTTATAGCAGTGACTTCTTCTGTTTATCTTTTCCTTTAATCCTCCTGCTAGCAGGATTTCTCTTTTTTTTTTTTTTTGGTACCAGGGATTGAACTCGGGTGCTTGTGCTTGCAAGGCAGGCCACCGAACCACTGAGCTAAATCCCCGGCCCATGGGATTTCTCTTTTTTTAATTTTTATTTTGAGACAGGGTCTTGCTTAATTTCCCAAGCTGGTTGCAAAGTTGCGTTCTTCTTACCTCAATCTACTGGGTTGCTGAGATTATAAACATGTGCCATCACACCCATACTATGTTTTGTTTTGTTTCCCAGTGCATACCTAGATGCTACCTCATTGCCTGCCATTTAACTTCTCTGCACCACAGTTCTCTGTAATAATGGTACATATTTCACGGAACTATCGTTCAGTTAAATGTGTTAATGTGTACGAAGTGCTTAGAACAATAGCACAAAGAAAGCATGAAAAGATGATTAAATTTTTTTTAAGTTATTAAATTAAAAAATATTATCAAATGTTACATACAGTAAAGGGAGAAAAATACAGGAAACCTAGACTAGGGTTGAAACCTGAAAGACAAGTTAGGTGAGTGAAGGGGTTAGAGGAAAGGGGAATGTATTCTAAGACAGAGGAATGGCATGTGCAAAGGCTTCTGGGACAAGGAGAACAAGCCTGTCATTTCCTGGACATGTCATACACCTGCAAATGCTGACTGAAACATTTTAGATATTAAGAGTAAAAGTAATTTTAATAGATTCATACTTAACAAGAACATTTAGGCTCAGAAAATTCTATGTGTAAATATTCTGTGTGTTCTTATTTAAGTAGTTGAAAACTTCATGAGAAATTCTTGTTCATTGTGTTAATACTGTCAAACTGATTTTATAACATTTTTGTTTCTTAAATTTTTTTTTAGGCGTACAAATGGTGCATTGAGGCAATGAAAGAAATTACAGCAGGCTTACCAGTAAAAGTTGTGGTGGATGTCCTAAGGCAAGCTTCTAAGGTGAATACAATGTTAAAATTATTAAACAAATTAGGGCTTTAAATTTGTTGTGACCTAGTTAATATATACTATATACACAAACTACTTCCTGTTGAATTCAGTTTTAGAAACACTATTTCCAATCCAAATTGTCTGACCTATGTAATTTTAATTTTCCTTTACCAACATAACCTATAAAATACTTCATTTGTAGAATAGATTTAGGTCACTGAAATACAGGTCAAAGTAGTATTTTGGTACTATTCTGGCTTGAGGTTTTTTCCTTAAACTTGTATAGTAACCTAAATTCCTTAGGCCAAAGCTCTGTGGGCTCTGGTCACTTCTCTGAAAGACTAGCCTGATGTTAATAGTATTGCAGTCTCACAGCACGACAGCTTGCTGTACCTGACCTACTGGACAATCTTTTTTGATATTTCTCTAGTTCATTTTATTCTTTAAATAAATACATTAAGTCTTTGAAGCCATTAAAAGCATTGAAAAATTACTACTTTGGCTGAACATGGTAGTGCATATCCATAATCCTGGGTGCATACTTAGGAAGCTAAGGCAGGAAGATCACTAGTTTTAAGGCCAGGAAACATAGACCCTATCTCAAAATAAAGTGTGTGTACTAAAGCTTAAAAGCATTAACATACTTTCCACATTTTCTCTTTCCATATACTCAATTTTCTCAAATTTAAGTATTCCATTTTAGTTGGTTTTACTAGTGGAAATTCATTTAGGAAGAAAGATTATAAAATTGTACATTTTAAGACTCCAGTGTTTATATAAAATATGAAGTCTGTCATTTGAGAATGTAAACAGAAGCTTAAATATTCAGGTTATCAGCTCTGGAAAAGAGATATTGTTAAAAAAAAGGTATTGCTGTGTTTTTAATTAATTCAAAACATTGAATATTCATTTATTATGAAGACAGTATAATATGCAAGATTTACATTTCTGTACAAGCAATATTTAGAATTTTTAAACCGGGCTATCTGCATGTTTCAAAATATTATAAAAAAAATAGGAAATCTTGAAATTCTGGGCTTTTGTTGGTGGCATTGAGACAGAGTCTCGCAGTGTAGCACAGACTGGCCTGAACTCCCAGTGATCCTCCTGACACAGCTTCCCAAGTGCTGAGATGACAGGCATGCCCCCACTATACCCAGCATCTGGGCATTTGTAGTTGAACCCAGATGTGGTGGTGCAGGCCTGTCATCCCAGCACTTGAGAGGCTGAGGCAGGAGGATTGCCAAGAATTTGAGGCCAGCCCGAACTACATAGCAAGATCCTGTTTCAAAACACCAAAAAGAGTCAGGCGTGGTGACATGGTGCACACCTGTATTCACAGCACTCAGAAAATTACTAGTTGAGTATATGGACAACCACTCTAAACATGGCTGATCTCATGAACTGAGCAGGGTTGGTCCTGGTTATCAGTTGGATGGGAAACTACCTGGAGTATCAGGCAATATAGGCTTAGAAAAAAAAATTATTAAAGAAGAAAATGAAAAAAATTATTATAAGCCACTCTAGAACCAGGGTAACTACCTTAGAAAATACTATGGAGGGGGAGAAGAAAGAAAAGAAAAACTTTGGGACACCCTTCCCCAGCCATTTTATTTTACTAACAAGGATGGTATACTAGCTTTGCGAAGTAAGTTTATTATATTAGGTTTGTACTGAGAGTGACTGTCAAAATACTAAATTTCATTATTTTCCTAGGTTGTATAAAAGTGTTTACAGAATTTTCAGGTACTTGGAAGGAAAGAAATTATAATTAGAATTTTTCTATTTATGTTTGAAGATTTCTTTTATTAACTACTATATTCAGATGTATAAACTACTTATTGTGGCACACTGATGAACTGTTTGAGAGGTTTCTTTTTGACAATTTTCCACTTTGTCTGTAGGCTTGTGTTGTAAAACGTGAATTTAAGAAGGCAGAACAGTTAATTAAACATGCAGTGTATTTGGCACGGTAGGTGATTGTTACTAAAAATACCATTTTAAATTGTTGTTCTACTTTATATTCTAATAGTTTTATATCTTTTTATAGGGATCATTTTGGATCCAAACACCCAAAATATTCTGATACATTGCTAGATTATGGGTTCTACTTACTCAATGTAGATAATATCTGTCAGTCTGTTGCAATTTATCAGGTATGTTAATAGTTACCCTTTTCTTCCTTTCAACCTAAATTGATTTGTTGACCTGTATTTGTTTGTGATTTTTATAAACCACTTTCTAAAAATAACTGAAACCTTTCTCCTCCTGTGGGACACACCATCATTTTACTTAGAAGGCTTAAAAGGTAAAGTGTTAGGAATTAAAGAGAATCAGTTAAGATAGGAATTATTGGGTTGTGGGCCCATATTTAAGACTAATTTTCTGTCTTTCATTTGCCCAGGTGATGGGTTGTTTTTGTGGTTGATTGAACAATATCATTATAGCTGCCTTTTTATCAACCAGGGCTGATAGCAATAATTTTAAGTCCTATAATAGCCATTCTCAGATCAGTGATGATTGTACCATGGCTGTAGACAAGGTATTCTTGATTTTACAGTTCACTTTTGGGGAAGGACAGAGAGAAAAACACTGATGTGACTTGAAAGTGATAGTATGATTATTATTAAGCCATTGTCTTTTTAATTCCTACTCAGTCTTCACAAAATCTGGTCTTGTGGATGACTTTCATCTTCTGTGACTTAAGTACAGCAGGACTTTCTTGCTTGAAAACTTACGAGTTTGGGTATATGAATTACTAGAATGTTTAGTTTAAATGAATTGATATTTTCTAAAGGTTTACAGTATTAAATATTTTTATGATTCTTTCAGGCAGCCCTTGACATTCGACAGTCAGTGTTTGGCGGCAAAAATATCCACGTAGCAACAGCTCATGAAGACTTGGCTTACTCTTCTTATGTTCACCAGTACAGTTCTGGGAAATTTGACAATGCACTGTAAGCCCATCTTCTTTTTCAGTATAGGATTAAATGCTAGTTTTTGTTTGTTTGATTGGTTCTTTTTCTCTCATACAATAGTATGTGATGTACTTTATATATCAAATTTGTCTTTGTAGAGCTTTAGGAGGATGCCTAAACACAGTCATACTAATTTATGTTATTCACTTAGACATTCTGTAGTTTAATATTGAGACTTGTGTATTTCTGTATAGAATATGACTCATTCAACAATTTTTGAGTAAATACAGTAACTTCTGGCTCAATGGAAGACTAAAAAATTCTAAAACAGCTAGGAATGGAGGTGCATACCTATACCTCCAATACTGTGAGGAGGCTGAAGTAGGAGGATCTCAAGTTTTAGCCCAGCTTGGGCAACTTCACAAGACCTTGTCCTAAAACATTAAAAAAAATAGGCTGGGTGTGTAGCATAGTAAGGAGTTCCTGGGTTTGATTCCCACTACTGATAAAAAATGAAAAGAACCTAAAAATTTCATACTCAAAACATGGTTCAGATAAACCATTATCTCTTTCATGTGTAAGTGAGCTTGTGAGAGTAAAGAGAAGTCCCTGACAACAAATAACAGACATTGAAATCCAAAGGCAGGAACTGTAGTATACAGTAGTCTGGGATGGTAGGAAAAGCTTAAGAGGTATTTATAACCTTGATTGTGGCAGTTATAATACAGTGTTTATTAAGACATTCAGCCTATAGAAGGCTATGAGTTGGAACCTTAACACAAAGCCAAGATCAAGGCAATGCCCTTAGGAAAGAAGACAGGTTGAGGGATAGCAGAGATGACAAGGGAACTTGTTCATCTGAGCTTGAGCTCACAGTTCACAAAAAGTGGTGCCTCAAGAATGTTTAACTATAGTACTCTACCACTCTGGAGTCTGGGCTCATGTCTACAGGAGCCCACAAACTGCGAAAAATCTTTTAACACTGTGGAACTAATTTGCTAGTTAATTAGTTTACTAATTGCAACTATCAACTCAAACCATAGGGGCATCTCAGGCATGTAGTGCTACCTAAAATGAATTTACTGTCCAAAAGTACAAAATACAAAAGGAAGCATTTCTTCTCTGAGGGAAAACAAATTTGGTGAATAGGATTGGAGCCCTAAGAACTTGAGTTAATCCAATTTACTCAGAGTACTAGAAAGAATATATTATTGATTAAAGATATAAAATGGATTGAGCCAGGGATTTAGCTCAGTAGTCCCACCACCTGCCATTGCAAGTGCAAAGTCCTGAGTTCGATCCCCAGTACCAAAAAAAAAAAAAAAAAAAAAAAAAAAAAAAAAAAAAAAAAAAAAAAAAAAAAAAAAAAAAAAAAGACCTAATTAGGGGAAGAATATTGCAGAGTGAGGGTAAAGCAAGTGCAGGGTTCAGAGCATAGCTTTGCCTTGAAACAGCTAGGCCCTCACGGCTGGAGACCTAAGAGAGGGATGATCTGAAAATGGCAGGAGACGAAGTCAGGTATGTCAGATGGAGAGCATGTTGGGCCTTGTGAGCCATAATAGGGATTTTCGTTTCGGTCTAAAGTAGATGATAATTCATCAGTTGTTTAGTCCACAACAGATTGGAAATTTGAAACCAAAAAAATAATTCTTTACCACAGATAGTTTTAGAAGTCTTTTCTATCAGTATCATATGATAGACAGTAATTTTTTAAATGTATAATGATACGTAATGAGAAAGAAATGCCAGACTGTATCTGTCTGTGTTACAGATTTCATGCTGAAAGAGCTATTGGTATCATCACCCACATCCTACCTGAAGATCATCTTCTTTTGGCTTCTTCAAAGAGGGTGAAAGGTACCCTTTGTAATCCAGTCTCAGATTATTTGAAATTAATGATACATGGCAGAAAATAGGAGTATTTATTTTCTCAGACTTGATGGGACTAAACTGTATACATTGTTACTAAAGTAACAAATTCTCTCAACTCCACTTAAAAGTTTCCAGTGGTTCTTAATGTAAGATTGCTTGCTTTTCTCCTATAATGTTGTTAATATGCCTTTTTTCTTTTTTATTCTTTCATGCATGCATTAATTTCTTTTGAGACATGAAGGAATTAACACAAATTATTCCATAGTAACATGGTAGGAAACTAAAGATGCGCTTCTAGTTTTAGGTTTATGGCAAAGATTCTTAAATTGAGCTTCAGATCAGGTTACCCTGTGTGTTTCAAGTTTCTTGTCAGATATTTTCGTTAACTTTTCTTATAATCACCCCCACTGCTTGATTTGATGTGTTTCACTCACATGATTGGTTGTTCCTTCCTTGTAGTACTGTGCATGTTGGATAAATTTTACTTTAATTCTGGATGAGGTGTTTTCTTCCTCTATGTTGACAAGTTACACAAATAATACATTTCCAAAAAAAGTTATATAGAAAGAGAAAAAATAAAGTTATGTTACCTGAACTTACATCAGTCTTAAATCAACATTTTGTTGAATAATATTTTAGATTTTTTAAAAATAAGAAAACTGAGTAAATTTTTGTTTTTTAACTAATATGAACATTTTTCCATTTCAATACATATAGGTAAGTACCCTTTTTCCTCATGTATTTAACCTAACTTCTATCATTGGGCCTTTGTTTTGTTTTCTAACCTTTAAAAATACTTCATGCTTTTTAATTCTTTAAAACTGCTGCAATGATGTAAATATCTTTTTATCTGCCTTTGTGCACATTGACAATTTTCCAGCAAATAAAATTGCCTGGTAAAAGAATATGTATATTCTTTTGTGGGGGGAACTGGGGATGGAACTCAGGACCTTGCTAGGCAGGTGGCAGAACCACTGAACCAAATCCCCAGCTCAAGAATATGTATATTCTTGAAGAATTGAGATGAAATTTGAATTGAAAATACTTTTTTTGGTATGGGGATCAAACTCAGGACCTTTTGTTTGCTAGGCAGGCGACAGAACCACTGAGCCTAAATCCCTGGCCAAAATGTGAAAATCTTAGAAATTAAAATGTCTTATAACCTGATTTTGTGGATGAAGTGAGTAGGAAGAAATCAGTTCTTTTAGTTGTGTTTGGTTAAAGGTTGTTTTATAAAGGGTGGTTTCAAAATTTTCAGAAGTGCTTAGGTGTACTCCTTGACAGTTTCATAACTTTAAAAATTTTGCTTCTTCCTGACATTCGCTGTAAAAAACATTCTCCTTAGCAAAGTATAGCAGTCTATTAAAATAGGAACTAATGTTCTGCAAAGGAATTTGATATATGCCACTGTTTTTCTTAAATTCATTATAGTGTACAAAATAGAATGACTCTACCAAAAGTATACTGTTTATTAAAGTAGAATATTTTGCCAGGCCTGGTTGTACAGGCCTGTCATCCCAGCACTTGGGAGGCTAAGGCAGGAGGATTGCTGTGAGTTTGAGACCAGCTTGGGCTACATAGTGAGTTCAAGGCCAGTCTCAACTATATAGCAAGACCCTGTCTCAAAAAAAAAAGAAAAATAAATAGAATATTTTGATCTAGCCCATTTCTAAATCATAATCACATATATTCTGTTCTGATATGCTTGATAAATGGCTTAAAAGTATATTAATTCATTGCTTTCTTTATTCAGCTCTTATTTTAGAGGAGATTGCAATTGACTGTCACAATAAGGAAACCGAACAGAGGCTGCTTCAAGAAGCTCATGATTTGCACCTGTCTTCACTCCAACTAGCTAAAAAGGCTTTTGGGGAATTTAATGTACAGACTGCAAAACACTATGGTAACCTTGGAAGACTTTATCAGTCAATGAGAAAATTCAAGGTAGAAACATGTTTAATTTCTCTTGCCAAGTAAATCATAAATTTTTAGTAATCGTAATAATATAGTGTGCATTCATTATACTCCTACCTTATTCCACAAAGGAAATGAGAAAACAGCTACTGTAAAGCAACATACTCAAAGTATACATAAAATTAGAGAATCAAGACCATGAAAAGATAAAAACATACAAAACCAGTAAGGCTAATCTGATTGTTACGTTTGGATTGCAGGCATAGTTCTTAGCTAAGTTTGGAGCGCTAGCTCTTGGCAGAATGCTTAGTGCATGGTAGGTATGGAAGAAACATCAGACATTAGTAAGAATTAACTTCATTGTTAATAAAGTATTAGTGTAGCGATAAAATTATTTACATTAAATCTCTTAGAATTACAGGTTATAGGGCTAGGGATTTAGCTCAGTGGAGCTGCTGCCTTCCTCACAAGCATAAGGGCCTGATTTCGATCCCCAGTACCAAAAAAAAAAAAAGAAGAAGAATTATGGGTTATAAATCCTTACTATTGTCCAGTTTGGGGCCCTAATAAGAGAAGAATGAAAATGCCAAAAATACTCAATTTTGTCCCTCAGCCTGAATTTATTTTGTTAGGGTAAAAGTTACTAAATCTACAGAACATAAAGTGTATTTCTATAGAAATTAATACCTTAACAAGGTCCAGTTAGTTTTGGAATATGTGTATGAAAACAAATAATTTTTCTTAATTTCTTCTAACAATGTTAATTTTTGTTGTCAATTTCGTCTAACAGTCTTTTATTACTCAAATAAGTTTTCACATGCTTTTGGTTAGGACACTGTAACTGTCATCAACCTTACAATAGCATGTTCTTTACCTGTAACCTTATGGCATTCATAAGCTCTCTTTGACATTTAGAAGACTCTTGCTCATTGGGTAAAAATTGTTGACAGAGGAAAAAGTATAATCTACTGATTGTTTTGGTGTAATTATTTTTCAGGAAGCTGAAGAAATGCATATCAAAGCAATTCAAATTAAAGAGCAACTTCTTGGTCAAGAAGATTATGAAGTAGCCCTTTCAGTGGGACATCTGGCTTCTTTATATAATTATGACATGAATCAGTATGAAAATGCTGAGAAACTTTATTTGCGATCTATAGCAATTGGTATGTTTTCTTTACATTTTTCTTAGTTGATTATAGAAATCAGTATGTCTTATATGTTGTAAAAGGGAAATGTTCTAATGAGACATAAATGAGTTTAGATTTGCAAAGGATATCCAGAAACGATTAAAAAAATCATCAGGAGCAGTTTTGCTAAAGCTTTTTGATGTTGACATCAATAGTTAGTAAAAGCTATGGCACTAGGTGTCAAGTGTAGGTAAAAGTAGTAATTTTCAACTATTTGTACAATTACTATTCTTACCTTCCCCCTCCTTTCTCCTGACTTTAACAAATTAGGTTTACTTTATTTATTTATTTATTTTATTTTTTGCACAAGACTGCGGATTGAACCTAATATTACATTCCCAGACACCCTCCCCCCTTAAATTTTTGGCAGGATCTCAGTAAGTTGCCCAGGCTGGACTTGAACTTGCCATCCTCCTACCTCAGCCTCCCAGGGTGCTGAGATTACAGGTGTACACCATTACACCTGGCCTGTGTCTGACTTTTTTCAGTGAATGAATGTTTGTTTGTTTGTTTGTTTGTTTGTTTTTGGCACTGGGGATCCAACTCAGGTCTTTGTGCTTTCGAGACAGGCAGCAGAACCATTGAGCTAAATCCCCAGCCCAGTGAATGTTTATTGTAAAATACCTTTGTGGTATTACATATCACTGCCACTTGTTAATTTTCAGTGCTCTATAGTATTTTATTGGATTAGTAAGATACCATGGCCATCATCTTAGAGTGTCTGTTAAGCCTTTTGCCTGTTTTTATAGTGAATGGTTTGATCATTTGCTTACTGATTTTGGAAATTCTTTATATATTATAGATATAATAAGCCCTTTGTTGGTTACATGTGTTGCAGATATCTTCTTTCATTCTGCTACTTATTTCCTGATAGTTCCTTTTTTTAAATTTAGAGAATACTTTATTAGTTTCTGTACTCAAACCCACATAGATAAGACCTTACCTATTTAAATACAGTGCATTACCCCTATACACATGGAAAAAAATTAAGTTTAATGTTTCTAGACTAATATGGCTGTTAATTTCTGTAGTGCCAACATAGTAAACTGGAGTGACTTTTCCAAAGCAGACAGCATAGTTAAAGTCTCCAAAAATTCAAATTATACACACACACACACACACCCCAATAATGCCAGTATGTTGTGCATCAAACAGTGCCTTTTTTTTTTTTGGTGCCAGGGATTGAACTCAGGTCCTTGCCCGGGCAGGTGCCAAAACCACTGAGCTAAATCCCCCAGCACAAACAGTGGTTTAGCACTTTGTATTCATTTTAAGAAATCTTTTTCTACCCCAAAGTCATGAAGATACTCCTCTAGGAGTTTATCTTTTGAAAACTTTAACCATTCACACTTAGATCTACAATCCTAAAATTGATTTTTATTTATGGTGTAAGGTAAGAATCATGTTTCATTTTTTCCTGTATGAACATACAGTTGACCAAGGACCATTTTTCAGAAGACTATTTTTTCTTTGTTGTACTTGTCATAAATCATGTTTCTGTGTGTATGTGGGTGTTTTGCATTAGCCATAACATGCTGACTCACTTAGTCCTAAATGCACATATGTCAAAATTGCTAACCCATTTGTCTGTGAAAAACCTACTACTTAAGAGTGTCCCATATTGTTTACAATAACCTTTGTCTTTAGCCTGAAAGTTTTATATATCTGGAACATGTTGTTCTAAAGTACCGTGGTTGGGCCGGGGATTTGGCTCAGTGTTTCCACTGCCTGCTTCACAAGTACAAGGTCCTGAGTTCGATCCCCAATACCAAAACAAAAACAAAAACAAAAAAAGTACCATGGTTAAAATTATCTCCCTGCCTCCTCCCCCTTCAATGTGGTTATGTTATTCATTGGAGAAATAATTAGATCCATTTGTTTATGTGTATATTATATTTTGCCTCCTCCATCTTTATCATTTTTTGAGTATGTGAAATAATAATATTTTCAAATCCATAACTGGAGCAAATCCAAGCACTCAGGAGGCTGAGGCAGGAGGATTGCAATGAGTTTGAGGCTAGCGTCAGCTATATAGTGAGTTTAAGGCAGCCTGAACTAATAGCAAGATAGCAAGATTCTGTCTCAAAAACTATCCCCCCCCCAATTCACAACGGGCTGGAGGTGGTGGCACACACTCTAATCCCGGCACTTGTTGAGACTGATACAGGAGTATTGGCATGAGGTCAGGACTACCCTGGGCTACATAGTTACTTCTAGGCCAGCCTGAATCTCAAAAACAAAAGTCATAGGTTCCCTTAAAATCATAAAATTTTATAGTTCTCTTTTAGTGAAGCCCAAATTTCAAGTCTTAGGGATTGCTCCTGGGTTTGAGTGGGTTGAGAGGTGCTGATGCAAGAATCTGTTCTCTTATCGAGAATAAAACCAAGCCAGCCTATTTAAAAAATTAAACTTGTTTGTGTTTTTTAAAAAATGCTGCTTGTAGCCAGGCATGGTGGTGCACAACTGTAATCCCAGCACTTGAGAGGCTGAGGCAGGAGGATCACTGAGTTTGAAGCCAGCCTGAACCACATACCAAGACTGTCTCCAAAATCACAAAATAAAAACTAACCAGAAATGCTGCTTGTTGCTTCATTATTTGAACTTTCATTTCTCCTTTGGTTACTTTCAGGGAAGAAACTTTTTGGTGAAGGCTACAGTGGACTAGAGTATGATTACCGAGGTCTCATTAAACTTTACAACTCTGTTGGAAATTATGAGAAAGTGTTTGAATATCACAATGTTCTGTCTAACTGGAACCGGTTGCGAGATCGGCAGTATTCAGTGACCGATGCTCTGGAGGACGTCAACACCAGCCCCCAGTCCACTGAAGAAGTGGTGCAGTCCTTCCTAATATCTCAGAATGTCGAGGGACCAAGCTGCTGAGGGATGACCTCAGTTAACCAATTACCTTTTCCCAGATTCCAGGGAATTCATACTGTGAAATCAAAACCATGTTGTTTTTGAGGGCTGGAATTTGCATTGAAACACTGGTCCAGTCCATTGAAGACCCAATTTGGGGTAATGCCTATCTTGCAGAGTGTCCGTAGAATAAGCATATATTCAGTTATATTCAGCATGTACCGCATGTATAAGTAGTCTGGCCCACATTTTCAGTCTAGTAGAACAAACAACAGGAGAATCTTTTTTTCTTTTTGTTTTTCTTTTTAAAAAAATAATTCATTTTGCAGTAAGTCTGAAAGAAAAAAAAAAGAACCCCTAAATAAAACTATTTAAGAGTTTAAAAGAGTTGCATTCTTATTATGTAAGGATGAGTTTAACAACTTTTTAACATGTAATTCTTCCATGTGGAGGTATTCAATACTGTATCGTAAAGAAATTTTATGGGGAAAATCTTTATATGCAGTACAGAAAAGTTAACACAAGTACTAATAAAAGGTGACCTCCTAACTTAACATTTCGCCCCACCACCCGGAGAAGTGGGTCTGACCACTGAGGAGCTGTATTACAGGGAGGACTGTTGGGGTCATCTGAGCTGGACCAGTGTGATCTGTGAGTGAGAGAATATCTGTTTGCTTTTGGTACAACAATGCAAGATGCTCTAGTAGCATTCACCAACAGGACCAGGAAGAACTTAAAGAGGACCAGCCTATTGTAGAAGGTGGTTATTTGGACCAGAGAGGCTTTAGATTATTATTTCAGCCCTTGCATATATCTTTATCAATAGAATGATTTCACTTAGATGTATAATGAAAAGTGATAATGCAAGAAATTATATTCATATAATAGCTACCAAGTAGGGGAATTTGGCAGTCTCAGTGGCATATCTTTAGGCACGGTACACAGATGGCAATGCCATAAGCCAGTGTGTAAATAATCTGCTGCAACCACCATCCTCGTTTTCAATGTTACCCTAATCATAAATGCCATTAATAGGTGTATTGGCTAGAGTGGAAAAATAGCTCATGTCTGGATGGGAATTGTAGATCAGTGTATGGTTTTGGGGGATTATGGAAAATAAATGCCCAAAAATAAGTTAGAAAATCCTTCATTTTAATGATAAATACAGTAACATTGAGTATTTGAAGTTCAGGAATCAAATGGTAGGATCCTGTAATAATATGTCTGTTTCACTAATTTGTTTATTTGGTTTTGATATTCTCTTTTTAAGCCAGTGGGTTATTTAATGTTGAGGTAATGTTCAAATTGGATAAGTTGTGACATGTAGCAAACCAAGAATCAAAAAGGTATTTTGCTGTTACCTCAATTCTTACAACAGTGGCCTGTCTTGTGCCTCTAGAGTTAAGAATCTGAGTTTCTCCCCTATTTTCAGGGGCTTGTGACTTGGCTGTTAGATACTGCTCCTGGCTCATGCTTGGAGGAGTCTGTGGGTGAGTGGATGTGTGTTGAATTTTGGTTTTATTTTAACATGAACATTGGGTGAAAAGTGTAAAGAAATCTAACCTGTCTGTCATATGGAGTACAGAAGAATTATGGGAGATGTCAAATTTTAAACACTTTATGGACTTCCCAACCTTAGTGCTATTTGGAACTGCTGTTTGCAGTCTTGTGAATTTGTGCTTTTAGGTCCCCAGGAGGTGTTTTCTTGGGGGCTATGCCTAAAGAAATGAAGCTAGTCCACACCCTAGGATGGTAACTTTGTGTGACTTTGAAACCTGAGTTTATTCTTCAGATTGAAATATTTTCTTTTTAAATTCAGGAAAGAATAAATTGGCACCCCTGCAGTTTATGAAGCTTGTTCCCCTCCCAGTTAGTTAATGCCAAGAGCCACCCTTTATTAATTACCAAGTAGTAATCTGTGTGACCAGGGACTAACATTTTTAAGTTACTCAGCTCTATCCTCATGAGCCTATATATTTAATACCTCCAAAGATAATTTCAGGGTAGGCTTTGTATGCTCTATTGGTATTTAGAGTCCTGTGGTATGTTTGTGGTATAGGAATGTCATGGTAAATTGTTTTTAATAAATATTTTGAAATTTATGTTTTCACATGAAGTTTTTTATTATTTTTTGGTTTTGTGCACATACAGCATTTCCTAGGATAAAATCAAGCAAATGACTTAAGGCCTCATTCTCCCTAACTCGGTTTGAACCCAGCTGAGCTCACACTCTGATACAGTAACACGATATTGAGACACCTAGGATCACGGGGTGATGTTGAGTGGCAGCCGATGTTTCTTTTGTTCTGTTTTCAGATGTCATTAGTGACACTTCTTTCACCACTGCTTTAATGTAGTTCCTGTATATCCATAAATGTTGGTGTAATGCCTACACTCTTGCTTAAAACATTTCTGTCTTAAAAAAAAAAAAAATCAACACTATTGTCTTATGTTAGACTCTGACTCATAGCATTATTATTTCTGAATCTAATGAAGAATAATGCCCTAATTTAAGTGCAGGATTTACTCCTTTAGTAAGGATGTTTGGAGAAAGTTAGATGAATGCCACCTGATTTGTGACTTTTTAAAAAAAGGATATAATTTACCGCACAATAACCAGTAGCTTATACAGATTTTTTTTCCTCTAAACATATGTGAATGGGTTGTGTGTTAGGAAGTCCTGGCCAATTTAAAAAGATTTTTCTGGAGATTTAATGAAGTAGTGTCAGATGCGGGCCTTTGGTCTGTCTCATCCTTCCCTGACTTCTCTTCTACCAAGTCTTTTTCCTAAATTTTGGTGCTACTCACGTTGGGGGCATCGAGGAGCTCTCGCTTGTGCCACAGTGGGTGGTCAGTCACTCTTGCACTCTGTGTAGTGGAGCCAGCTGAGTTTTTCATAGCATAATCTTTATGGGCCCCCAAATCTGACTTTGTCCAGAGGATTAGAGCCCTTCTTAACTGTCAACTCTATGTTCTTTGGTTAAAAATGATCTCACTGCTGCTTTGTAGTAACCCCTGTGTAGGTATTCTTGCATTTTGATGAAGACCTTTGTTCCTAGCCTTTTAGGAAGAGTTCATAATCTTGTGAAAATTAAGTACAGAAAACTGAGCACAGTGGCACACATCTGTAGGCCCAGCCACTCAGGAGGCTGAGGCAGGAGGATCACTGGAGCCCACAAGTTCAAGACCAACCTGGGCAATATAGTGAGACCCTCATCTCAAAAAAAAGAAAAAAATTAAGTCTAGCAGATACAATTTTAAAATAAGGAGAGTGCCAGCCATTTTGCTGCTCTTTATAATACAAACAGAAGGCTGACCAGTAAACACATGCCTAAAATATGATTGAAGCTTTTGGCCAAAACTACAAATTTATAGGATGATTTACTAAGTAATAGGAATTGTTAACTGCCACTTTTTTTTTTTCTCCAGTATTCCTAGCCTTGTTGCTTCCAAACTTCTTTTTTTGTATGGCAAAGTTACCACTGGAAAAATACTTAAAAGTACTAATCTTTTGAAGAGTTCTATTTTTTCTTTGAAAAGTTGAGTGCATATTCCACCTCAAGTTACCAGGATTTTTTTAAAATATGATATTCAGATTAATCTCCAGCTTGAACACTAGTAGTCTACAAATCTCAGGAATGTTTTAGGCAGAAAACTGGTTTTACCCTGATGATCTGAAGGAGTGTGCTTTAGGGTTTATTAACTAATACTATTCTTACTTGCAATCCTAGGTGTCTAGCATGAGTGGCCTTAGTGAGTTTGTTGAAGTGCACATGTTTTTCAAAAATAAAATTTAAGATTAAATATATATACTATATATAGGTATCTAGAAAATCTTGGTTTATGGTGCACATTTAAGTGTTGGATCACTAAAATAACCATTGCAGGTACCATTTGTGTGACATTACTCATTTCTGTATATTCCTTTTATGGGAAGATATGTTGCCATGGTAACTAAAAACTTTCAGTTTAGTTCTACTTTTATGATGTGAGTGAATGCTACATTTTATTAAATATTACCAAGTCAGTACTATTTTTCTACTTTATTAAGCAACAGGGGATTTTAGTTTAATAGGCTCCAAATAAAATGGAATAATTAAAAATAAATTACTAAAACCTTTACATGAAAATCCCCACGACTAGTGCCACAGTAATTTCTATAGAAATATCTAAGGTCATTGTAGATTTTTGAAGACGGCTCATTGTGTCAAATGACCTTTCATACCATTCTCACCAACTTGTAGTGGCCACCATTATTTGTAACTATTAAACCATACTAAGTATGTTTGTAACCAGCATTGTGATATATTCTGTACTTGTATTGCTAAAAATGAATCACTGATCTAATAAATAGTGTTCCTGCATTCATAGTGTTATCTGTTTCCAATTTAGTTGTAATTGCTTTGGGTCGGGACTCGGGATAAGCTTTACAGACTTTTATTGGCGACCAGCGCAAGAATGGTTGGAACTAGATCAGAAGTGCTCTTGTTCAGGAGAAGGTGTGGCAGAGGCGCGGGTGCTGGGGAGAGCACATTAGGAACAACCACACATGCAGGCAGCACAAGAGTTCTCCGTCCTCAAGAAAGCAGGAGTCCTGCCGTTTCCCCAGGTCTTCAGCTCTGCAGGCTGAAGGTGGTGAGAGGCCTGTGAAGTTCTGCTGGATAGTGAAGGGAACCCATTTGTTCGTATAGTTAGAAAATTCAAGATGGAGTTGAGTGTATATAGCTCAGTAACAAAGCACATGGGCATTGTTCAATCCGCAGCAAAAACAACAAAAACCATCTATTAGAATGGCTGCTCTAAGCCTGGGAGTATATCAATATGCAGCAGAGCAACTGCCCCAAAAAAGAATGGCTATCTTAAAACAACCATTGGCAAGGGAGTAGAGAAATTGTAACGCTTTTCCACTATTGGCAGGAATGTGGAATTCTGTACCTGCTATGGAAAACAGTACGGAGGATCTTTAAAAAATTATCGTACGATGGAGCAAGTCTGGATATATCCAAAAGAAGTCAAAGGGTTTTATGTAATCCCAACACTCTGGGAGAGAGAGGTAGGAGAATCACAAATTTGAGTCCAGCCTGGGCAACTGACAGCAATTTAGCAAGACCCCGTCTAAAAATAAAAAAGGGCTGGGGTTGTAGCTCAGTTCAGAAGCCCCTGGGTTCAATCCCCAGTACCACAGCCAAAAAATTAAAAGGATTCAAACTGATACTTATATACCCATGTTTATAACACTTCCCCATAGCTGAAGGCGGAAACAACTCATTCATTCATTGGTGAATGAACAGATGAAATGTGGCATATAGTGAGACTGAGATACCCTGCTTCAAGGAAAGATTCTGACACGTGCTACAGCATGGCAACCCTTGAGGATGTTACACTCAGCAAAATCAGCCAGACGGTTACCATGTGACTCCACTTACGTGAAGTATCGAGAGTAGTCGAAATTACAGAGCAGAAAGTGGTGGGTAGCATCTGGGGAGCAGGAAAAAAGCAATGGTTGCTTAATAGTTACTCTGTTTTGCATGATGAAAAAGTATGCACAACAGTGTGAAAGCACTGGATTTAACACCCTGAAAAAATAATTAAGCTGGGTGTGGTGGTGTACATCTGTAATCCCAGCCCTGAGGCAGGAGGATTGCCTTGAGTTCAAGGCCAGCCTTGGCTAGTTAGTTCAAAGCCATCCTGAATTAAAGAGCAAGAAAAAAACGAAGGTGGTGAGAGGATTATACCAGAGGGTGGAGTTCAAGTCCAGAGGAAGTGACTTACTAGGTTGGGACCTTTTCTGAGTCTGGCTCATCCTTGTCAATCTCTCTCCTGGGTTACGAAGATGAATTAAGCCTGGTGATGTAGCTCAGTAGTATGTGATGTGCATGGCCCTAGGTTCCATCCCAGCCCTGCAAAAGGGAAAAAAAATAAGGCAGTGCCTAGATGCTGGTTACCTGTGCTAGATCCTTTCCTGCACAAGGGAAGGGATGCTCAAAACTCAAGTTTTAGCAGACACAGGACGCTGTGCATGTGTTGATAAATGAGCCCACCAGTCAAGATCCCCCCAAAGACTGCTGCATAACTCAGAGTTGGGTAAGAAGAGGGCTTCGCTTGCTCTTCAGTTTTAGGTCGAGTCTGTGGAGAGTTAAGTCGGGTTAAATCACCTTCTTGGAAGCTTGGCCCTCAGGACAGAGAAGTCACTTCACCCAAGTTAGTACTCCGTGACAGATGCTACTAAGAAAGGGAGGGGTATCTCAATAAGTTGGTAGAGATGGCCTAACAAAGCCAACTAAACATTTCTGGGAAGCTTCTCAATTGACAGGTGGTGGCGCACATCTGTCATCTCCGCAATCTGGAGGCTGAGGCAGGAGGATCACTGCAAGTTCAAAGCCAACCTGAACTGTATAGCAAGACCCTGTGTCAAAACAAAAAACCCAGGGGCCGGGGATTTAGTTCTGGTAAGCACAAGGTCCCAAGGTGCAAAAACAAACAAAAACCACAACTAAACAAAGGCCCAGATAAATAAATGTGAAAAGGTGGAGATTTAACCTGAACAGAAAGCTTATTCTGAGTGCGTGTCTCAGTTTGCTGGCGAGGTGATCTTTATGCATGGAACAGGTGATGCGTTCAGTGAGGCAGGGGGAGCAGTCGGTCTAGCATTGTGTTTGGCAGGATGCCTGTGGTCATAGTCCTCATCCTCACAGTAATTCGGGAGGCAGGCGTTGTCCCCATCTGATAGGGAAACTGAGACACAGCACTGTTAAGTGACTTGTCTTAAATCCCAGGGAGGCAAAGGTGCAAATCAACTGCAGAGAATCTGGAGCGTGGACCACCAAAGGCAGCAGGCCCAGACTTCTGAGTTAAGAGCCTGAAGAATCAAGTTGGATGCTACCAAAATGGGTTAAAAGAGAAGGGGAAAAAGTCTCCTTCCACCAGTTTGATATTTCATGGGCCTCTGACTCCTTTATGCTCTTAGAAGGGGTTTGGCAACTTAGTGATTCAGCAAGATAATGCCTAAAAATAAATTTTTGAAGAGCTGGGATGTAGCTTAGTGCAATGGCTTGGGGTTCAATTCCCAG